TAAATTTAGTTTTGCTTTTCTCCTATTTCTTATTTAGTTAGTTAGTTATCTTCCTAACTGTATTGGTTAGAACCTCCAATACTATTTCATACCAAAGTGCCTTATTCCTTTTTCCTTTTGTTTTGCTTCCCCTTTCTGCAGTACCAGGGATCAAAGCCAGGGATGCTCTCCCACTGAGCTAAGTCTCTGGCCCCTTTTTGAGACAGGGTTTCACTAAATTACCTAGCAGGTAATTTAGTGGGACTCAAACTTGTGATCCTCCTGCTTCAGCCTCTTAAGAGCTGGAACTACTGGTATGAGTCACCATGATGAGCTTCTCTTTTATTACACTGATTGGCTTTTTTATTAGTTTTGTTTGGTTTTTTTTAGTATCAGGAGTTAAACTCAGGACCTTGTGCTTGCCAAGCAGGTGCTTGTGCCACTGAGCTATATCCCTGGCCCCTACATTGATTTTCAAATATTAAATCAACCTTGCATTCCTGAAATAAGTGTCACTTAAGATTTAGTATCCTTATATATTTCTGGATTCAATTTCTTAACATTTCACTAAGAAGTTTTATACCTATGTTCATGAAAAATTTGATTTATCACACCCAAATTATCTTGTTTTAGTATAGATCCATGCCACCTTTGTAAAATGAATTGAGGATTGTTACAACATTCTCTATTTTCCTAAAAATTTGTGTAAGATTGACAATATTTATTAGTAAATGTTTATCAAAACTTGAGTGAAAACAGCTAAGTCTGGAATGTTCTTTATGTGAAATTTTGATTACAAATTCAAATTTTCTAAAGAGCATAGACTTATTCCATTTTTGTTTCTTCTTGTCTTAATCTTTTTAAATTTGTGTTTTAAATAAATTTGTCTGGGGCCAGGGATATAGCTCAGTGGCATAACCGCCCGCCTGGCAAGCGCAAGGTCCTGAGTTTCACTCCCAGTACCCAAATAAATAAATAAATAAATTTGTACATTTCAAGAAAAAAAAAAAAAAAAACAGAGCCCCTCTTTCTTCTCGAATCCAAACTTCAAATCGCATGGAAAGCTCTGGTTAACTGTGCTTCTAACACCTACTCAGCTCTTCAGTCTATCAGCAGTGTCCAGGGGACAGGATGCTCATATCTTAGCACTGTGGCTGAGAGCCCCCCCTCCCGCCGAGATCACATGAATTGGGAGGCAGAGTGTGAGTCTGGCACCTTAGACCACTCCACCACCCTGACAACTGACCACATGAATTGGGAGAGGAGTTTCCCTAAAGGAACATAAAAGGAGTATGGACAAGTGGTCTGCATGAACAAAAACAGCCCATACCACCTTCTTAGAGTTGTCATGAGATAATGAACTTGAAAAGTTTAGCAAGGTATTTAAGTATCAACAAATATTAATTACCATAATGATAGACAAATGGATATATTAATAGATGGATAATGACTGGACATAGAGTAAGTGAAGAGGAAGATATATAAAGATAGAAGAAAAGAAAGATGGAAGAGGAAAGAACAGGTTGATGAAGACAGTGGGTAAACATACAGACTCTGGATGGAAGGAAGGAAGGATGGATGGATGGATGAATGGAAGATGGAAGGATGGATGGATGGATGGATGGATGGGTGGATGGATGGATGGATGGAAGGAAGGATGGATGGGAGGATGGATGGATGGATGGAAGGATGGATGGATGGATGGATGGATGGATGGATGGAAGGAAGGATGAATGGATGGATGGAAGGATGGATGGGTAGATGATGGATGGATGGATGGAAGGATAAATGGATGGATGGAAGGATGGATGGATGGATGGAAGGAAGGAAGGATGAATGGATGGATGGAAGGATGAATGGATGGATGGAAGGATGGAAGGATGGATGGATGGATGGATGGAAGGAAGGATGAATGGAGGGATAGATGGATGGAAGGAAGAAAGGAAGGAAGGAAGGATGGAAGGAGAGATAGAAGGATGGATGAAGGATGGAGCAGAAAAGCAGGTCCACAGTTAAACTTGCCACATCACATGACCTAGGGCAGCCGGGTGTAGTGGTGCACACCTGTAATCCCAGCACTCGGGAGGCTGAGGCAGGAGGATCATTGAGAGTTCGAGACCAGTCTGGGCTACAAAGTGAGCTCAAGGTCAACCTGAAATGCGTAGGGAGACCCTGTCTCAAAAAGACCAAAAAAAAAACCACAACCTAGCGCAGGAAATGGGGAACAGAAGAGCACCTCACGGTAGTCCGTCCTCGGAGGTTTCCTCCCCTGGCCTGTCTCTTGGGTCTTGTAGAACAGTTCTTGGAGAGGCCTGGGATAAATCCAGTCCCACTCTCAACCCTTCCTCATTTATAGCTCTCTTAGAGTAGCTGTAGAGTGTGGGGACTACCCTTTGAGGGAGCTGGAGCAGATCAGCTTCTCTTCTGTCCTCGTCAGAAACAGCCCTTCCACGCTGTCACCCAGCAAACCGCATTATCCCCAGGGACAAAGTCCAGTAAGAGCTGTTTCCAGGTTCCCTCAGCTGCCCTGCAAGTGGAGCGTGGGTGCTGAGACTTCATGTGCCCTAGGCAGCTCTCCTGAACTCGGAGGCCTGGTTCACTAGGAACCTAGGCTTCTGTTGTCCCTGGCTGCTTACCGGTAAGACACAGACCCACTTCACATCGCATGTAAGCATGTTCTGTCTCACTGGCCTCAGCCAAGCGGGGAACCACTGTGCGGCGAACCAGCTTCACAGGCTCCCTCACCCCTGCTTTCCCTCCCTCTCGGTGAGCTGACCAGCCCCTGCGCGGAAATCCCTCTCAGTTCCCAGGATGGGAAGGGCATGGTAGAAGGGGATGTTCGAGGCCAGACTCCCCTCTAGCTATTCCCAACAGCTACAGGAGATGAGCGAATGGAGGTGAGGGGCACTGCTGCCCAGGCTAAAGGGTGAAATGCTTTGGGCCCAGAAATGTGAGAGGGGAAGCTGGACCTGCCTCCAAATCGTCCTTAGCTCTGTGCAAGGAAGGAGTGGGCCTCAGGTGATGAATGCTCAGGCAGCATGCTGGGCCTAGGGAGATGTGCAGAACCCAAGAAGGGATCTTCCTGGCTTTGCCCTCTCCTGTGATTGTGCTCAAGGGGCCTGGGACTCAGGCTCTGTCCCAGGTTTCCCACTGCTGCTACCCCCAGGGGTCTTCAGACCGCAGAGAAGAGGTAGGGAGGAGAAATTTGGGGAAGAGGAAGGACATGCCTTCCTCGGGCTTCTAATCCTGAAGCAAACCCTGACTCCTGGGCTTGGGACTAATTCAAGTAACTCCGAGGTTGAAACACTGCAAACTTCTCCGAAAGGTAACCACACACACTCACACACACACCTTGTCCAAACTGCTGGCGGTGACACTGTCAGAGTGAGGAATGGACGTAGGGAGGTTATTGAGAAAAGCTGTGAAAGGGAGAGAAGTGTTCTCCCAGAGGGATGCAAAGGGCACACAGCCAGTGAGAAGTACCCTGCTACCAACTCAGCACTGCACTCATTCTGACACTAAGCACCCAGTTATCAAACCTCACAGGCTTAGGCGGAAGCTCTCCAACAAGACTGCCCTACTCTACATGCCAACTGCAAGTAGGGTTCCCAAGCCACCCACATGGCTGACCAACTGGCTACAAGTCTGGGAGGTCCGTCCGCACAAGCCTTGTTTGGGTAATTTACCACGATGACTCACAAAATTTACGAAAGCGCTGCTTAGCTGTGCGGGGTGGCACACACTTGTAACCCCAGCTCCTCAGGAGACTAAGGCAGAAGGAGCCCAACTTTGAATCCAGTCAGGGCAACTTACTGAGATGTCTCAAAATATAACAGGCCAGGGATGCAGCTCAGTGGGAGAGCACTGCCTAGCACATATGAGGCCTAGGTCCTACATCAGGAACATCCAAATAATGAGACACAAGACAGTCTGGGAGGCCCTCAAATGTAATTCCCTTGCTGAGGAGACACAGGATTTGCATGGCCCATCAGCGTGCTCAGCAATAGTTCTATAAGCCTGGTGTCGTTTTAACTGAACTATCATTACACAGGCATTATTGAATTGTTGGCCACATACTGGAAGTCAAGGCCCACCCCTTTTCTCCCTGCTGTTCAGGCTGACCCAGAGTCCCCTCCCTCCAATCATACCGTTATAGCGACCCGCCTCCACCTTGAGTCATCCTTCAGCATAAGCCCAGGTGTAAGCCAAAGGGTTCATGGTTAGCACTTGGAAGGCTGAGGCTGAAGGGTTGCCATGAGTTCGAGGCCAGCCTGGGCTAAGTAGTGAGTTCAAGACCAGCCAGAACTACATAGGAAGACCATCTCAAAAAAACAAAATACCAACAAAAAAAGTTGTTCATGAATGTAGAGAAGACTCTTGTTACAAATGCCCAACTTATGTTGGGGTTATGACCTCCCAAAAACCATCATAAACTAAAAGTACCCTAGGTCAGTGGTGGCAAATCTATGGCACACGTGCCACACCAGTGGTTATCACTGAAAGCTCTAAAAGGTTCGCCATCACCATCCTAGGTCAAATATGTATTTAATTCACCTTCACCTATCCTACTAAACATTCTAGCTTAGCAATGCAGTATGCTGTAGTTTCGGCCATGTATCCTCATGATCACACAGCTGATTGGGAGTTGTGGTTCACTGCCTACCACCTCAAAGACGTAAACCAGGGGTGGTGGCACACGCCTGTAATCCTAGCACTCGGGAGGCCGAGGCAGGAAGGTTGTGTGAATTCAGGGCCAGGCTAGGCTACATAGTGAGTTGAAGGACAGCCTGAACTACATAGTGAGGCCGTCCCAAAAAAAAAAAAAAAAAAAAAAGTATTGTCCTGCACATCACAGAGCTGGAAAAAAATCAAAATCTGAGGTATGCTTGATACTGAGTGCATATCGTATCACTGTAACATTGTAAAGGCAAAAAACCCTAAGGCAAATCATCGTAAGTCAGAGATCATGTCTGTACTTGGGAAATCTCAAAGGTTTAGTCTTCTCAAGAACCAGGGACAAATGCCAGTCAAATACTTTATTATACACCAGATGGAAGGGGAAAGTCCAGTCGAATTCTTTATTGTACACTGGAAGGGAGAGTTTGCGGGTGTAGAAAATGAAAACTGCAGGGGGCTGTGAACAGGAAACAGCCACAGCCTCCCCCAGGCTTACACACACACGCACACTCACTGGAGACTCTCACCCTCACATCCTCCTCCTGCTCTGTCCAGATGCAGCTTCATACCCTGGGCCCTCACACAGGGCACACGCAGGACTCCCGCACACCCGCTGCTCCAGAGACTCCGCCGACGGTCCTTCTGCGTCTTCCACGGCCTCTCCCACGGCACCTAGCCTCTTCCCAGGGCACTGATGTTCTCACGTCAGCACAGGGATAAAATGGAACAAGGGTTTAAACAGTAAGGGCAGAGGCACAGAGGATCAAAGCATAGTCCTGGGCAGGAAGCTGAGCTCATGTAACGTCCAAGGCTGAGAATGGACCAGACTGTGCACGTGCTGAACGGCTGTCCCCTCCGGTGACCGTGTGCGCCTGCACGGCGCGCGTACACCCAGGCATTCCTGCGCAGGCTGTGCATGCCTGAGCGGTGCGGGCATGCCTGTGTCCCGTGTGTGCAGCCTGTATGATGCATGTGTCACTGCCCAGGCGTCCCTACATGTGTCAGTGCATGCATGGGGAGCCTCCGGCTGCTCTGGTCTCCCCAGGACCCTGTCTCCTCCAGCCCGGCTTCCCAGAGGAAGAAGAGGGCAGTGCAAGTGAGCAGAGGTGAGCACAACACTAAAGCTACAGCACTGCACAAAGCCCTCCTCGGTTCCGGCCAGGGACGCTGTCCTCTACCTCGGGGATCCTTAAAGCCCTAATGCTAATCCGCACCCCTCAGCTCTGAGCGAGCCCAAATATTCTGAGGACTTACTTCCAGAGAAAGTGTCTGGTATCTTCTCAAGGCTGACTGCAGGGTTCTCTGTCCTTGTCAGCGGCTGAGGGGAGTGTCCAGGCTCCTCCTTTCCACCTTCTCCCTCCTCCACGCCGGCCTCCACACCCCCGCCCCGTGTCCCTCTGCCTCCTGCCCAGTCCCTCCTGCAAGACGTCTCTAAAACAAGTTCCAGATGTGGTCCCCAGCGTCTGCCCCTCACCAGGGCCTTCCAGGGTCCCACTTTACCCAACTCCAGGCTCACCACACCGAAGGACACGAGCTCAGTGCAGCCCCGGATGGGCATGGGTGCACCAAATCACCCAGACACTGAAGAAGTCCCCTGCCAAGTCCCAGCCCGGCCTCCGGCCTCCAGCAGTCCAGCCCAGGACCGCGCCTGCCTCTCCCTCAGGGCAGGCGCCGCAGCAGTTCGCCGCGACAGCACCAGAGGGAGCCCTGCGCCCGAGAGACGCTCGGGAGCCACCCAGGCCCGGGGAACCAAGGACAGGCCTCCAGCGGCTCTGCACCACACCCACCCCACCAGGACAGGGTCTGCAGTGTGCGTGTGCGTGTGAGTGCGTTCACGTGAGAAAGCAGGTGTGGCAAGAGCCCAGCCTCTCCACATCCGGACTGTACTGCTGCTCAGAAAGCCTTGTGAAACCCACGGATCTGTCCGCTGATTATCCGTGGCTCAAGCTAAGAAAGGGAGAGAGGGTGCCGTGGGGGACAGCGGGGGAGAGCCATGCTTCCCTTTTCAGCCTGAGAAAACTTCCCCCTCCTCACTTCTGGTCACTGGGTCCCGCACCGTCAGTCCAGCCACCTGCCCACACACACACCCCACACCAGCCCTGCCCGGGTACCGCCCTTGGCTAGGAAGTTCCTTCCAGCCCCACGCACTAGGCTGAGGCCCTTCTCGGCTCGGGTGTTGCCCCCACTGCCCTGCCCAGGCCAGCCTGCCGTTCACCGTCCTCTCCGATCCCGCCTCCCCCACCTCGCAGGCTCTCTTTCCACCGAATCTGTGTCCACCACAGTACCTGGCACACAGCAGACGCTCAGTAAACAGCTGCTGACTGAATGACTGGCCTCAGCTCAACACATTCTGACCGCTAAGGGACTTGGCCAAGGCCACTCAGCTAACAAGTATTTCCATAGCCTGGCCTGCTGTGGGCTGAGCTCTTGGAAAAGGGGGCAGCGTGTTGTTCCTTCTCAGCCGAAGGTCACGCAAGGGGAGCGGGACAGACAGAAAGGCAACTGGCAGGTCAGAAGCCAAGGAGGGGAAGGGAGGGAGCTGGAAAAACGTACTGGGCAGAGGCCCGGAGCCCTTTTATTGCCGCCTGGCGCTGAGGCCGCAGCCTCCCAGGGCGTAGCTCCACGATCTGTTCCGTCCCTGTAGAAGAGGGTCCTGCGCCCGCGCGATTTAATGAACCCTGGAAGGCACTGGCTCCGCCCCGTAGAGTGACGCTCTGGCCCCGCCCCTTGGAAGAGGTGCTGGCTCCGCCTCTTCCGGGTGACGGCGAGCCCCACCCCTGGAGAGCAGAGCATCCCTGTGACGTAATGGTAACGGCCCGCTTCCGGGAGGAGCCAGAGAGGGCGGGAGTTTAGGCTGCGCCAACCCCTCGGCCCCCCTCCAGGTGACCCCAGCCCCTGAAGCTCCTCACCCGGGCCCCGCAGCTCCCTGCGCCACGCCCGCCAGACCCTTGCCCTGCCCCTCCACACCTCCGGCCCCGAAATAACCGTGCCCCTAACGCCCTGATGCCTAGTGTCCCCGAAGCCCCCAATCCCCCGTGCCGAGGGGCACTGGCTTCCGGCCGGCCCCGGCCTCGGTTACCTGACCACTAGCCCCGTCCCGGGAATGGCGGAGGGGGGGACTGGGGCTGGGGGACGCGCTCCAACCGTGCCGCCCCCAGGAGACGGTCGGAGCCCAGGCCATGCCGGGAGTGCGCAGATACGAGGTGGCGCTGGAGTCGGAGGAGGAGTGAGTGCGGCGGCGCCGGGGG